AGAGAGTGACACGACGCAGTAGAAGGAAGGGGCTTGCAAGAGCCAGGCGTGCTGGAGTCAGAGACAAGTGGTTCCAGGAAGTAACCCCCCCTCTTCTACCGGCTGGCAGAGTCTGTTCTTGCTTCTACGGGGCTGCAGGACCAGGGGAACCCGCCACATCGCCACAGAGGTGTCAGGAGCGGGATGCACTGCCCCCGGGCATGGAGCATCCAGCAGAGAGTGACACGACGCAGTAGAAGGAAGGGGCTTGCAAGAGCCAGGCGTGCTGGAGACAGAGCGAAGCGGTTCCTGGGAGCCATGGGCGCTGCAGCATCGGTCGGTGAGTCTACACCCCAGGGATCGGCGGGGCGATGGCCTACACCCGACTCCTGACGGCAGACCTCGTGGGGCTGTGCAGAGAGAGGGGCCTGGCCGTGGGGGCAGCAACTAAGGCCCAGCTGATTGCCCGTCTGGAAGAGAATGAACCGTCCAGGGGCTCCTGGGGATCTTGTCCCAGTGGGGAGCAGCCAGACACCCCCTGGGAGCGTCTCAGGCTCCCATGGGCGCTGCAGCATCGGTCGGTGAGTCTACACCCCAGGGATCAGCGGGGAGACAGCCTATGCCCAACTCCTGAAGGCAGACCTTGTGGGGCTGTGCAGAGAGAGAGGCCTGCTCATGGGGAAAGCAACCAAAGCCCAGCTGATTGCCCAGCTGGAAGAGAATGACCAGTCCAAGGACCTGGATCTTGTCCTGGCACGGAACAGCAAGATACCCCCTGGGAGTGTCTCAGGCTCTCAGACCAGAGGAAGGGCTGGAATCTGCCAGACAGATGCAGTGCACAACAGGCCACGCTCTGCCAGCAGCGGTTCATTCAGGGAGCGGTGAGAATGTGGGGGACGTGGACGGGTCCTCAGGGTCTGTGAACTGCACCAGGTTCCTCCAGCGGACCGGCTGCAACAGCTCCCCCCCTTGCAGGATCAGGCGGCCGCAGGGGGGCTCAACCAGCTGGAGGCTCTGTAGCCGGGTGACTAGGAACGGGCCAAGGAGGCCCTGCTGCACAAGTTCGGGCCGACCCCAGAGACGTGCAGGAAGAAGTTCTGGGGGTGCAGGAGAGGCCACGGGAGACCCATGTGGATCTGGCTCCCGCCTGGCGCAATCCTGCCACAAGTGGCTGTGCGGGGTCGGAGCCCAGGCCGCAGAGGAGCTGCTTAAGCCGATGATGCTGGAGCAGTTCTATGAAGCGTGCACACCCAGCCTGAGGCTGTGGCTCAAGGACCGGAGGCCAGAGACCCCCAGGAGGCCGGGAGGCTGGCGGACGAGTTCACGGAGAGCCAGTCCGGGTGTGAACGGGAGTCCCGGAGAGAGAGGGAATCGCACAGAGACCGGATCTCTGCTGAGCGACGGAGGGG